ACAATTTTGTCTGTAATAGGGAGATCTGTAACAGGGAATCCCAAACAAGGGGCCAGCCCTGACATCAGCCTGACCAGAGATACGTGTTCTGAGCACAGTCAGTCACTTGAGTGTACCGGGAGCCCCAGGTAGCTGAAGGCACCTCTGTAGCATAGAGGAAGAGAGAGACCTGCAGCCATTCTGTGGTTCCCCTGCGTGGGTTTTCCAAGCTTTATGATTGTCCCCCTAACATCGCCTTCTAGTCCTTTATAATGGACATGGAGGACCAAGGCTCTATGATCAGTCCACAAGCCTTGCCAGCCACTCAAGGGTAGCTGGTATGCAAAGCACTGTGTTTCTAAACTACTTGAGCACCAGGTTTTCTTCTCTCACCTTAAGACTCAGTCTCCAGAGAGTAAGTAGCCCTAATTCACCCCCTCCCCCAAGCCCTAATTCCCCCCCCCCCCCAAGCCCCCCCCCCCCACACACACACTGCTTCCCTATGACAGAAGATGCTTTGGGCAGGGGGAGCTGTAGATGGGGAAAGCCTTTAGTGTTCTAGAGGGAATACCCTGTATCTTGTGTCAGTGATGAGGTAGCTGTTAGCAAGGAGTTTCTCTCCCTTTGTCAGAAGCAGCCTGTGTGCTGTACTTTGGCCTTACTGCTGGGATAAGGAATATTCCTGCCTCCCATTTCTACCCTGTGGCAGAAGGAGGGTGGGCAAGAAGGCAGTTAACAGAAGAAGTCCAAGGCCCAGCTCTCAGAGCTCCAGAAACCATCTTTGCTTATTCTTGTAGTTCACAAGTCACTAAGTGCCTCCCACCTGGGGGACTGCCCTTATGATCAGTCCAGACCCCCACACTGGCCATGATCCCCTTTACACTCCCCTCCCTGTGCCACACTGGTGCTGCTTGCAGAGCCCTGGGATAGAAACCTCCTGGTTTTGAGCCATTATCTCACCATCCATGCCCTTGGGAAAGCTTTGGCAGGTCAACTCTTTCTGATCGCTCTTGAAGGCCTGAAGAAGAAATGGAGCCAGTAACATGCCAGGAGATTTAGGATGGATTTAGTCCCCGTGCAGAGAAGAATAACTGTGCTGTGTCAGTGTCACGTTTTAAAGAAAATGACTCAGAGACCCCATCATTCCTGGATAATTCCTCCTCTCTCCCTCCAGATAGCATCCCTGATCCTTCCCAACGGACACTCTCTGGAGGTGCATCATTTTATTGGGCCAGATTCTCAGCTGTTGCAAAACAGCATAGCTTCCCTGGCTTGGATGGGGCTGTGACACTTTAAACTCTCTGAGGATCTGGCTTCACGGATTTTCCTGTTTGCCTAATAGCAACCATCTGACTGGGGAGCTCCCTGGACAATGATGTGTGGCTCTTGTATAGTGCTTTCTATTGATGGTTTTCAATTTTAATGCACTGATTTTTGCAGGACCCTTGTGAAGCAGGGCACAGAGGAGGAACTTGAGGCACAGAGCAGCTAAGGGACTTGCCTATGGTAACAGGAAGTTTATGGCAGAGCTGGCTCTTCCAGGACCTAAGCTAGTGTCTTAAACACTGTAGTCCTTTTAAGTGAACATAGGAATACATTGGACATATTAGTCAAAACCCTCCAGTCGGATATTGCAGCCACTCTCCAGGGAGAGAAAGCCAGAACAGGGTGTCTTGAAGGCCAAAAGCATGGATCCTAACAGACAAAAAAAAAGTAACTATATCCCAGAACCTTCTGCTGAGAATACTCTGCTGTTTGTCACTTTTTAAATCATGTCTAGGGGCTGCCCATCTGATCCTGAGCATTCAAAAATCCTGAGTGAGAAGCCATGGAAATCCTGGATTATGATTTAAAAAATACATTGGGTGCTTTTTATTTGCTTTCTGGTTATGATCCTTTAGTAACCCCTTGATTCATACCTTCAAGTGAAATGGAACCACTTGTGCCCTTTGGGCTGGTACAGAGTTATTGTGGTAGCGAGTGATGTGCTATTGAATAGGACTTAAAACCCAAGTCCATCTGGGTAATGAGAATACCCCTAGCACAGGGGTGGGCAATTATTTTGGGTGGAGGGTCGCTTACTGAGTTTTGGCAAGCCATCGAGGGCCACATGATAGGCAGCCAGGGACAGATAAATATTAATTTTCTAAATATTTTAGGAGCCCCACGGGCCGGATAAAATGGCCTGGTGGGCCTTATCTGGCCCGCGGGCCACATTTTGCCTGCCCGTGCCCTAGCACCTCCTATAGGAGTGAGCTGTCAGACTTGTTTCCTAGGTAAATTTTAGTCTGGACAATTCTGGTCTACATCTCACAACTTTGCTCTATGCTTTCACTTTGGATGCAGGTTGTTCTCCACTTCCTTCCTGCATTCACATGTAGAGTTGCCCAGTTCTATTCCAGAGGTGGTTGCATTTCAGTGATGCGCATAGTAATTGGTGTGTATAAAGTGCTTTGGCATGAAGAGTGCTAGGGACTTGTTGAATTATTCCATTTCCTTTTGCTTTCTTCTCTGTCAGAAATGAATGCAAAGATGCTGGACTTTGAGACCTTCCTTCCCATCCTGCAACATATTTCACGTAACAAGGAACAGGGAACCTATGAAGACTTTGTGGAAGGACTACGTGTCTTTGACAAGGAGTCAAATGGCACTGTTATGGGAGCAGAACTGCGCCATGTGCTTGCCACTCTGGGTATGGGCTGGAGGCAAAGCTGGACCTAGTGGATTGGTAACCAGGGGGCAGAGATCTAAGCTGGTACCAAAAGCCCCTGTGGCAGTGTCAGGGGAACAGTGTTGAGAGTGGGACCTCCCTTCTTTTAGGGAGTTGAGTTCTGTTGGATGGTATAATGCTAAAGGGAGATCCTGTTATCTGGGGCAGCCACAGATAATCCTCCTTATCTTAACACAGGCTTTAGCAAATAGCCCAATGCACTGTTAATATAGACATTGCTGATATAGTATTAGCAGGAGCAAATTATTCCAAGACAGAGCTCCTTTCACATGTAAGTTATGGGCTGGGATGTGACCCAGGCCAGTTAATGGCTTGAAGATGTTCCTAGTGACAGCTCTTCCAATTTGGTCCTTTCTCTTCTCCTCTGCCTTCCTTCCCTATGCTCCCTCTAGTGTTTCCGAAAACATAGCACCTTAACTTACAAATGCCCCATTAATTAGCCTTAGATGGAGCAAATAGCCAACAAATGAATTCTCCTCAATACTGTTCCTCAAGTGAGGCAGCAATGGCTCTCCTGAAGAGGGCTAGGGGACCCTCATAATCCACAGTAGTCTAATACCAGGGCTGGGGCAGTGGTAGAGTCATCCTTCTATCCTACCTGTCTTTTTCCATCTGTTTCTAGGAGAGAAAATGTCAGAACGTGAGGTAGAGCAACTGATGGCAGGGCAGGAAGATGCCAATGGGTGCATCAACTATGAAGGTAGGAGGATCAGATTCTTTTCCTGGGCACATCAGCCATTTCATGCTTTTCTCTGAAATACTAAATACACCTTCTGCTGACCTGAAAAGTGGAACAGGCAGTCACTGAGTAGATCAGAGTGAAGTGAAGAAACACTTGTGTATGATCCATCCTAGGAATCATGAGGCAAATTCAGGAGAATTCAGGAGATTTCCAGCAATATCTTCTCAGGATTGAGTGCATCTTTGGGTAGAGTCTGAGGGCCTAGAATTAGTGAACACTTGAGAATGAAGACTTCCCCCTTTTTGGCACTGTAAATTGGGGATAACAATACTAAATCACCTCCTGGGAGCTGTGAAGTTTCCTTATCATTGTAAATAGGTTTGATATTATCAGATGAGAGATGCAGTAGAGGAACAGGAAAGGATCTCTTCACTAAGATATGCATCACTGTAACCCACTGGTTAGACCTTGGTAAATTCAAGGATCTTTCCTGAGCTTATTTATTTATTTATTAATCTCTTGACATGGAAAATTGCCTGTCAGTGTACCGGTGAAAAGTATCTGTGTATTTCATTGTTCATGGATGCTGGGCTCAAAATGCAGGTCCAGATCTTGTCAAGGCTTTCTTGTCAAAATGCTCTACAAAGCATTGTCATTAATATGGAACTGCAAAGCTCCCCCAAGACTAAGACAAAGGGAGCTCATGGCCTGCTGGGCTCAGCCTCTGTCCTAAGTACCCCAGCTAGCTGAGGCTTCCAATCAGAAATAGGTCATTCCTATGAAGAGAAGTTAGTGCCAAAGCAAACACCAAATTCTTTTTCAAATCTCTTTTTTTGAGTTCTACTTCAATCCCAGTTTGGGAGCTGGGGGGAGATTCCAAGCTGTCACTCAAGATCAGCCCAAGCCAGCTCTTTCACCACTAGTTTAGATTATTGTTGAGGGGGATGATAAGAGAGGGCAGTTGGACTGGCTTCTGAGTCCCAAGAATCCTCAGCCATTCCAGCTAGAGAACCTGAGAGCTTTAGAAAGATTTGTCTATGTATATAAACCCCAGAGACTACATGACACCCAGGAACTGATTGCATTACAACTCTCAAGCAAGGACTTATGCACCAGAACTGTGCTGCAGGCTTTTATTTCTGTAGTCTTGACGTTAGGGGCCTGGCTCATAATGTATAAAGCTATGCACCCTTGTAAGTCTTTACAGGAGTATAGCCTATCTTCACAGATCACCTTTACCCATGATCCTCTCTACCAGGCTCCAGTGTGCCACCAGCACTTGCCTTCCACTAAGTTATGTGCACTTGAATCTTGATTGCTCTGGGGCAATCAGTCCTTCAGAAATTTGAGAAATAAATGGGAGGTGATAGGCATTAATACATACAGTTGACCTCTTGGACCCAAATTTTCAAAAGTCTTACAGTCACAAACAGATTTTCAAGCTCTCAGCACCTCACAGGCATGTTTGGAGTTGACATGTGCAGAACCTAGTCACAGAGAAATGCTGAGGGGTGAGCACTTTGAGGAAAGTATTCTTCATTGGGCAGATTGGACATTTGTTGGAAATCTGGCCTTGAGCTCTTGGAAAATGTGCCCCTGCCCCTCCCAATAGAGTTACCTAAAAAGGCTGGAGACTGCTGTAGGGTGGAATTTGTGGTCAAAGATGAAATCTCACTTTTTTTTATGCCTTTCTGATTTTCTGCTCAGCTTTTGTCAAGCACATCATGTCTGACTGAAGAAGAGAAACTTCAGGTGAGTTCATGTGGACCACCTACTGTGCACCTGAAGATGTTTACACACTGACCCAGTCTGCTGGGCGCTGAACATAAATACCATTGACTAATGAACTCAGCAATCATGTAGTGACTTACCATCGACACAGCAAAAATTCAAAGTTCATGCTAATGAACTGCAGTCATCATATAGAAAAGGCACTCATCTGTCCTGTAGTCAGAAGGAAGCAGGAACATACAGTCACGTCTTATGAGGATAGTGAAATATTTTTTATTCCTTCAGTAACTACAATCATTCAAGTTAATCATTCAAGTTAATGATTTTAAGTTTGCGGGGCCTGATAGCCTGCACCTAAAAATTTTAAAATATTGGCTTAGGAGGTCCCTAAACTGTTAACATTGATTAACAACACATCCAACAACTGCAGTGGTAACAGGTCCAGCTGTTGCTGCAGCAGGTTCAACAGCAAGTCCAGCAGCAGCCATGATGGATCCAATGGGGGTCTGGCAGTGGTGACTTCCATAGTGGGACCAGGTAGCAGCATAGCCAAGCAGCTGCAGGGCTGTGTCAGCCCAGCCCTCATTTACCCCTCTTCTGCCCACAACCATGTCCAGCAGAGCCCAGGGACCCTGAATTCTGTGGCAGTCCTTGCCCTCCCTCTGGCCTCACCCACAACTTCCAGTAGCCTGATGGTGAGCCAGATAGAACAGCACCATGGCGCATATCTGGCCCACAGGCCATATGTTTGACACCCCTGCTGCAACCAGTAGTGTGATGAGGGGTGGCAAACAGGACACCAGCCCCTGGTGCCCACTTGGAGGGGCACATAAACAGCAGTAACTGGTACTGCTGGCCCAGTCACTGCAGCCAGTCTGGCCTCTCCTGCTGCCCAGGGTACAGAGCCTGGTTGTTATGCCTCTGGCTGCAAGACTAGGCAGTCAATACTGCAGTGCATTTCATGCCAAACTATGCTATTTTCATGGAATCCTAAGCTGAACATTATGAAAATGCTGCTATTATTGTTTCAATTTCATCTGAGATTTAGTTCTATTACTTGGTATCATTGTTGTCATCATGATTCTGAAACACCACATGTCTATCTTCCAGGTTCTTGGAAGCATTTCCATCCGAACAATTGTTACTAGTGGCACAGTTCCTTGACCCCTGTCCCTTCCTCTGCAAAGGTCCCAAGTCCAGAGCTGTACTTCACACAAGTCAAAATGAAGAGTCCCAAGTGTCACAACATGCCAACCCTATACTAGTGTGTGCAATAATCTCTGTATATAAAAGGACACACAGCTGCCCCTCTGTTTTAAATCTTAATTTATTCTTTTTGGGTTTTTCCTTGTGTTATCTGGCTCATTAAATTTCACACACCCACCAAATATCATTCCTGTTTGGCTTCAGTCCTTTTGAGGAAGAGTTTGCAGATCGTCATTGCTCCTCATCCTAGTCAGTAAGCTAAGGGGGAAAATTGAGTTGACTAGTCAGCTATGGGATTTCACAAGGAGGTACCAGAGACATGTTTCTACAGGGAAGGAGGAGAGCCATCTTTGAGGGCATGTAAAAGTTGTGCAATGGAGGTGGTCAGATTTGTGGAGCAGAAGTTACTCTGGATTTACAACAGTGAGAGATGTGCTCTGTAGCAGGTTCATGCTCCAGGAGCAGCTGCAACACCCCCCGGTAGCTACACAATTTTTGCCCCAGCTCCAGCTTTTCAAGTGCCCTCGCACCTCCTGGTCTCACCCCGCACACTTTTGTTGTTAAACTTAATTAGGTGGGAGGCTGCCCCAGGGCTCCGTGGCCCCAAACCCTGCCCCAGGGCTTAAGGCAATCGGGCGCCCATAGGGCACCAATGAGACCTCTAAGCTACATCCTTAGCCCCAAACCCACGCCACCAGTTAGACAGCAAGTTACAAGCCTCTGGTTGCAACTCAGACTGTCCCCACGCTGGGCCTGAGCAGTGGTGACCGTGTAGGGGGTGCACGTGCACCCCCTGGGAGTGCCAGTGCGCCACCTGACAGGCCATGCTCCCCGCTTAGGCAATGGGCAGAGGGGCCAGGCATGAGCACCAGTGCACCTGCTGCGAGCACCAGCCAGGGAGTGGGAGCGCCAGATGAAGCCCCATGGCCACTTCTGGGAGTGCTGTGGTCACTTCCCAGTTGGTGCAATTGGCCACCGGGGACCCCACCCCCAGTCAGTGAGATAGTGACTGACTGGTCACTGGGGGGGGGAGGAGAGGGAATGTGCCCCCCCTGACTAAGGTGGTACCAGTCACCCATGGGCCTGAACATAAATCCCAGCTCACTAGCTGTATGCACAAAGCTCCCCCCCTACTCCACACTACTCTCTTCAAGCCCTCAGCCTTATTAGTAGCTCCCAGGTAACTCAGCAATCAACCAGACACTCCTTTACAGCAGTCCCTCTAGGAGCTCCTTCCCTTGCCTTATGAAGGACACACTACTTCTGGTACTGACACTGGCTCTGGTTTATATGCTCAGAGACCTGCCCCTTCTGGTCTTTTGCTCTATCACCTGACCTACCAAAGGGTGCTTGTTAACCCCAGCCTGGCCAGCTGCCCTTGTCCAGTTAACAAAAACCCTTCCCTTAAAGGGGCCATTCTGCTTTTCTATAACAGGGCAAGGGATCCCTGTTATACGCTCCTTCATGACACAGGCCTAAATCTCAGTGCACTTACACTTTGTCACCTGGCATTCAATGAGGGAGCTCAATGGGTTTTTAGAAGTCAATTGTACTCTACCTCTGGAGATGCCAGCTGCAGAAGGAGGTGTAGTATCCCACCCCAGAGGCACTGGAACACAGAAGTGGTCAAACGGGCCTTGCTCAAAGGGGAGGCAGCAAGGGATCTTCTGTGAGGAGGAAACAGGAGATCTCATCTACATCTTGTGTGCAAAGGCTCATAAGCAGCTGTTCAAATGGTCTTGTAGCGATCAAGATGACTCTGGAACAGCAATGTCTAAGCTAAGGAAATGTCATAGTTCTGGAATGTAGTAGCTAGCACTGGGTAGCAAACACATTTTAAAATCCTAGTGTAGGCAGAGCAAGATGTAGACTTCCTTCAATAATACGCTAAAACCGCAACTTGCTTGGTGTACACTAGGTTTTTTAAATGTTCTCCTGGTGTAGAGAGGGCCATACTAGTATTATCTTAAAATATGCATTGTAGCATTCCAAGATTGACTCTGTTTCCTGCAAACCAAGGGAGATTTCTTGAATGATCATACCGAGAAATATGATGTGGGTCCCAACTCCCACGCGAAGGGGACAGAGCTTCCCTCTGTGGCAGTGTTGAGGTCTGACGGTAAGACAGTAAGTGGAAATCATCCTTTCATAAACAAGACTACATTGTATTTAGAACACCATAATGAAAAACATAAGCAACAGATGCAATTACATGTGCTGTACTGTTGATCAACAAGGTCTGTGCAACAGGGTGCAGAAACCCTTTATGGATCCAGAAGGGGCTGATAGTTCTGCCTAACAATATGGCACAGCTGTGGGGAATGAGATGCCTGGGTGGATCCCCAGTAAGAGTTATAAAAGGGCTGTAGCTGTGTGGGAGAGAGAGAGAGATTGAGGGGGATGGTTTTTGCTGAGAGATGTTAGAGCATGTTTCTGGTTTGAACAGAAGGTAGTAAGGTTATTTTCTTTTGTTGAGAGTAGTAGGTAGAGGGTCCAGAACTTTGTGTTTTAACACTTCAAGTGCCAGTAAAGGATCTGGTTTTGTTGAGCCCTGAAAGAAGTGTGGCTGTGACCTGCAATAAGTAAGGTGGTAGAAGGCAAGACTGGCTCACAATCTGCAGGATTGTTTACATGCTGTGTAGAGATTGGCATGCATTTGCATATCCAGAAGGAAAGGACTTATCTCTAGCAAGGACATTCCACAGCCCAAGCCAAGAAAGAAACAATTTATTAAATGCAAGGGGGTGAGGCATGTGAAAAGTGATGACAGATCCTTCAAACTTAAGGAGAATCTAAAGATGCTGCACCAACTTGTCAGACTGAGAAGTCCTCAGAAATGAAACTGGTGAAAAACTTTGAAAACCAGAAAGCACAGAAGGCGGTGGGAGGGGATTGAATAACATCTTTTCTGTATAGCTTTTAAGGTCAACACGTTTCATCAAGTCTTTATTTTCAGGAACTTGAGTACTGATTGTAGCAAGTGGCTCTGGAATTCTGTCTGCGAGCAAATAATGGGTTGGAAGTAGAGGAGGGTGTGAGACGTTTGGAATGAGATGCTTTCCATTTTACATCACCCACAAACTGTATTTCTGCATTCACTGCAGGGACAGGCCATAGTCTGGGGGGACAGAGCAGTAGTGCATTCTTAGACCTGTCTTTGTTGTTTATCCTAGTGTAACACCCACATACACTTGGGTTGTGTATGGTTAAGTGCATGCTTTTGGAAGCAGAAGATTCTCCAGGCAGATTGATTGAGAGAGGCTGGAGCATGGCACTCCCTCATTGGACAAGACTTGGGTGATGTCACACCAGGTATATAAGAACAACTCGGCTAAGGTTTTTCTGTCTTTTTTCTCCTTGGGCTGTTAAGAGTTGTATAGCTGAACTGGGAGCCAAAAATCTGCTCCCCTTCCCCTTTTCACTGAAAAAGGTGAGCAAAAGCTATGTGAAAGGAAAGCCTCAGGTACAGGCAGTGGCAATGCATAGGGGGTGCACATGAACCCCCTGAGAGCACCAGTGCACCCCCTAACAGGCTGTACTCCCTGCTTAGGCGATGGGCAGTGGGGGCAGGTGGGAGCGCCGGTGCCACTCCTGCAAGCGCCAGCCGGGGAGTGGGAGCGCTAGATTAAGTGCTGTGGCCATTTACCCCGTGGCCAATCTCGCCGACCGGGGATCCTCCCTGGTTGCTGACTGGTCACTGGGGGGGTACATGCCCCCCCGACTAAAGTGGCACCAGTTACCCATGGGTACAGGGAGAGAAAGTTTGTCTTGGAGTTTGAGACCCCCGTTTCCTCCCTCTTTCCCCACTTTTTGAGTGGGTTTTAATCCCTGGAGCAGACTGATCAGGAATGGAGCTCTGGCAGTTTTGGCCACATAGGCCTTCAGTGGGGTAATACCATGGGGGTATTAATCCCTGGAGCAGATTGACCAGGAATGTGTCCTGGCAGTTACTGGCCGCATGGACCTGACCCGCTCTGTTTTGTGATTGTAATGTCTCAGCATTGCAGTATAGCTGAGACTGGATGTCCTGGCTGCAGCCATAGACCTGGGCCCTTTGTGCTGTTTCACAGCTATTGCTTTTCAGCTTGGCTGTGTGGCTGAACCCCACCATATGTTTGGCTGGCAGATTTGAGCCAGGGTGAAGCCTGGCATGGTTTGAGCCAGGGTGAGACATGGCACTTGTTGATCCAGGCCTCAGTGTGGTATAAGGCTGCCCAGTTCAGGCCCAGTGAGGTAGGCCTGGGCCCCCTTTTGTCCCTTTTGTAGTTTATGTCCCAACCAAGCAATGTAGTTGGGTGCTAGTTGTAGTTCAGGCCCGAGCCATGATGGGCCTGACCTTTCCTTTAAGTTCTTTTGTAGTTTTCTGCCCAGAAGAGCTGGGATTGGGACTAGGAATTGTGGGGTGCGGTATGCTGATGAAAGCCACAATTAACCTCTCAAAGCCAACATGTGAAAGTGGAGGTCAGTGCTCTACCATTTCTCCAGGAGCAACAGAGCCCCTTGCAATGCAGAAGGACCCATGTTCTTGAGCAGCTCCCTGCAGTTCAGTGAACCCAAGGAGCAGCTCATAGGACTCTGGTGTGGGCCCCCCTCTCTAGCCCATTGCTGAAGGGCAGGTATAGTGGTGAAGCCCCCAGAACTACCTTTTGGGGAGCCCCAAGTCCCAGACTTGTCTAGGCATGGGTGAAGCCTCCCCAAGAGGGTGCAACCTATAGACTTTGTAGTTAATAGAGTTTTAAAATTTATATTTAGTGTTTTCCTTTTTTTTCTGTAATAAACTTGGGCTTTTGTGTTTACACTGCTTGTGAGGAGGGGATTTTCTTAATATGGGTCACCCTAGCAAATTTAGTGTTCCCAGATTTCTGGGGAGGGAGGCACCTTGAGCCACTGGTATAATTTATGGGTATACCCTGAAATGTGAACCTGGCCCTTGTCGCTGTCAGTCAGTGCCCAGCAGAAGGGTTATGCTAGGACTGCCAGAAGTTTTCTCGTTTTGCATCAGCCCAGCAAATTTACCTTTGCTCAACTGGTGGTTGAATTAGGATCTGCTGTTCTCAAATGTTCTGTCTAAAACTTACCCCCTGGCTGTGTTCATGGGCATGCTGATTATAGGTGTATTACCAAGAGCTGAAGAATTAGGCTTCAGGCTACTGTCCACCCCTCAGGGCATCCGTCTCTGTATTTGGG